ATAAAAAAAAAGTGATAAGGTGGCAAATTTTGAAAGGAAGGACACGTGTCGGCAAGGAGGCGCAATGGAATGAAGCATTGATAATGATTTAATTAATGATTTAATTAAGAGAGCGCGTGGGTTTAGCAATTACTAAGTATATTAGGTTGGAATGTCAGAATTGCGGCCTTTGAAAAATGTCTGCCAATTTACTTGGAATCTCATCCTCTTTCTCTCTCCACTTTAGCTCCTGGTTTTTGGGAACCATCTTTTAATTTAATTTACTTAATTAATTATTGATTATTGTTGCTAACAGTGGTTTTCTCAAAAACCAATGACTGGTTTCTGGTTTGGATTCAGTCTATGGGCGATTCTGCCCTGGACAAAGGGTTTCTGTGGTTCCCACCAAACTCTATTTTCAATCTATGTTCATTGAATTTAATGCTTCATTAATTGGAAAACCTTCATCATTAATCATCATTATTTAATCTTAACCACAATTGTTTAGTGGATTGGATTTGGTCACCACCATATCCACTTCAACTCCTATCTTCTCTCAACTTTTTCGATCTTGCTAAATGCTTAAATCCTCCATCTATTTTTTGCATAAGGTCAAACGTTTTCTGTTTTCCTTTCTTATTTCTCAACTTCATTTAATTTCGTATTAGTCCATTATCATGCTTAAGCTTTTTAATTATCATATTCAGCCTTTTAATATAAGTGTATAAAATATATCATATCGTTTTTCAATTGTTATCGTGTTTAGGAGATGACATATGAAGTTAAAAAATATGATTAATTTTTTATTTATATATTTGTGACTTTTCAAGTTGTTAGAGTGTTTAATGTTGTATTATTATTTTTAATTTGAATTATAGTTTTTTTTTTCAGTCAGTCATGCAAGTAAGTAACTGTTTTAATTAGTATTCTTCGACAAGACTAGATGTATTTTTATGGTTTTGATTTAAACCTTGTGAGACTAACTAATGTTCCATATTTAGTTGCACGTTAACTTATCCTTTAAAAAAATAATTTGTGGAATTAAACAACATCTGAGTAAATTTATTTTATTACAGTTTAAAAAGTTAATTAAATTACCGTTTTTTAAGTTATTTAAAAATCAAGATAGATAAGTAATATTATTGTTAAAAGTTCAAGATGAGTTTAAAATCTTATATTGAATAAAAATAATTAAGATGAATAATATATAAGTATAAATATTCATAAATTTATTGAATTAAGATTTTGAGTAGTAAATGATATTCTAATATTTTATATAGACTTGTTTAAATTTCATGACTCGTTTGCTATTATATTAAGGTATTTATTCTAAAAAAAAACTCAATAGTACCAAAGTTGAATGTTCATCTTGAAATCAACTCGTAAAATTATAATGTTTTACAAATCTTTCATTTTAGAAAAAAAGCATCTCATTATAAAAATTCCTTTTAAAAAATATTAAATGAATAACAAATAAAAAATTTAAAATAAAGTTTCTTAACTGGAATCTTTCATACTTTTTACGGGTGACCTTTTATAAATGTACCTATTTAATACAATTGGCTATAACTCAATATGACACTAAAAAAATGATATTTGTGACAATTAAAATTATAAATTTTAATGGTTAAAAACCATCAAATTTCACGAAGCAAAAAAGTGAACTTGCAGAGTGAGTATGTGAATTGTTTTATAAGATTAATTGTGGAAATTATAATGAGAATTTACAATTACCGAATGGTTATGGTTTTAAGAGGTGGAAAAAATGTTAAAACTATGAAATGAAACGATTTAGATTAAGATGTTCTCTCCATTGCTTGGATATGGTTATTCCGAAGAAATGTCATATAATAATTTTAGTGTTTATTAATATCTAACTTATAATAGTTCAATTAAGAATGTAAATAAGATAATTTTAAATGTTAAAAAGTTATGTTCTCATAAAAAATAATGAAAGTAGTTTTCCTTCTAGTTTTTATTTTTTGTTTATAAAATAAAAAACACATTAAACAAATATAAGACTCGATTTTTCATTTTAAATCTTAAATAGATAAAAATAGAAAGCTTAAAAATAGAGTTTGTTAACTAAATTCTACAATGCCTTTACCTGTGATCTTTTTCTGATCGAATGTATATAGGTAGATGATATCTTAATAACATAATAGATAATATTATTAATAGAAGGTAATCAGCTGAATTTTTACTTATATTTACAATCATCAAAACTTTCGAGATACAGTACAGTATTTTTAAACTTTATTAGATCATATATAAGTCTAAAAAAAAATATGATGTTAAGGTAATTTAAGACAACATGTAAATTTACATATTATTTAATTACTTAAATTATATGATTTCAAAATTTATTTAATTAGTAAGAAATGGAAAGTTTTCAATATTTAAAATTTTGAAAAGTTTTCCTATTATGAGTTATTTTAAATTAAAATTAATTATTTATGATTGTCTGTCAACTATAGTTTAAGTGGTCAATTTTTGTCAAACACTCGGATTGTTCAACCACAAACCAATCTAAATAAGTTAACTCATAGCTTAGAAGAGCAAACCAATAAGATACACCAGTCCAATGTATATCTCATTGTCGGAAACACAAACCATTGAGACCAATTGGTCACCAAAATGATTAACCGGTCACATACTAGCACGACGAGCAAGACACTGAGCACGACCAATCACTAAACAAACCTATTTGCCATGTACTAGTTCAAAGAATAGGCTATCGAGCCTCGATGATTACCAACCAAGTCGTTCAACCTTCAATTGGACTGATCTAGATGGTCCATACCAAAATAGATTAACATAAAACTAATCAACTTAAGAGTAAAGTATAATTACTCATGATTGGATTGTAATTAAGCCAATGTTAATCAAAAGCCAACCACGAAACCTATACAAAAATGTTAGAGTTGAGGAGGTAGGTTAAGTGCATTAACTATTATCTGTCATAGATACTCCCCGACCAGTTTGGGCAAATGAAATATCGCTTTTTGAATAACATTTAGACTTCAGACATCCCAATGCAACCTGAACTGTTGACCTTGATCTCCTTCTTGGTGAAGAAAATCCTTTTTTTTTTGTTTAATAACATCTTTTTATGCTTAATAACACTCTCATGTTGCTCATCAACATTAAGACCATATTGAGCTTCTTCAGCTCCACTATGATGACTTCTCCTACGAGGAGATGTCATATAGAGTCTTTTAGCTTCACACTGTGCAAAGTAAAAACACTTCGTATTATTACATTTTTGTAACAAACAATTCAAACAAACATTAAAAACAATATGAATAACAAATAACTAAATCCAGAGAATAAATAAATAAAAACAATATCGCATAAAATAAATAAAATTAAAAAGAAAAACTAATAAAATCATAAAGTAAATTAAAAAAAATATTTATATACACGCTGAATTTTTACATTTCATACTTTTCTTAACTAGATTTTAGATATCTTTCTTAACCGAATTTTCCAAATCTAGTACCTTCCACCAATCCGAAACATTCTCTGTACTAGATTTCAAAACCCAATACTTACTTAATCGGATTTTGAACTTTTGTCTAACACGATTTCAAAATCCAATACCTAAAGTTGCAGTCCAATTTTCGTTTCCAATTCAACTCCAAAGTTCCATCTTCCATCAAATATCATATAAAATTTTCATCAAAATATTATCTCCAAATAATGAATAAAAGAGTTAAATAAAAATGGATTTACTTGGTTATTTGGAGTGAGCTTGCCGAGAAAAAGAAAGAGAAAGAAGATGTTGGAGCAAGTAGTGTCTGGGGAGAGTGAGTTGCCATGAAAGTGAAAGAGGGAAAATTTTTGATGGGAAAATGGTGAAAAGTGAGAGAAATTAGGAGATGGTTGTTCGGTCGTTGGGGGGTGGAAATGAGTGTTGTGAGAAAGTAAATTATAAGAGAGAGGTTTTAAAAATATTTGGGGTGCAGAAAGAAATCTCCCCGTTACATTTAATGATGGCCCAGCCTCATGATGGGCTAACCATCCTATTTCTAAAATTTACTTTTTTATAATAGCAATATCAGACTCTTTACTTTAATATTTGTATTTTATTTACTATTTATTTCAATTGATTTATTCTATTTTTCTTGCAACAAAAGATTTAATCTACAATTTTATAATTTTAATTTAAGGTGATTGAGATATTTTGTTAATTTCTATAAAAGTTAGTTTGTTTTTATATTTTTAAAAGTGAGCGATTGATGCATTTTGTGGCAACTCGCTAAGATTGGATTCAGCTATTTTAGCTTTACATTAAAATGGTCTAGCCAGTGTAATTTATGAAGAGATCAAATAGACCCAAATATAAGAATAATTTATCATTGCACTTTTATTTTTATCTGTTATAATGAGTCGACTCTTTATAAGACTCCACCAACGGCTATCAAAAGTGTATTATTAAAATTACAATTAAATTTAAATAAATATAATCTTTTAATAATCGATAAAATAAATTATTATCTTAAAACCAAAATTAAACTATTTAATTATTTTTTAAGAGTTTTAATAAGAACACGTTAGCTTGAACGTTCCATGATTTTGGCCCAAAGTATTTTAATAATTTTCAAGTATTAAAATCATCTTCTTCTTTTTTACTCTAACTCTTATTTACTGATTAATGAAAATATAAAAATTATCGATAAGAGTGGACAAATTAACAATAAAAAAATAAAAATATTTAAGTAAAAATAATAAAAGAAAGACTTTTATCACTATGTCTCCCGCGTTCCATTGTCATCTTTATCTCAACATTTTATAAATTTTATTTATCAGAATAAATGACAGTGCATTACATGGTAATTTTATTGCTGTTCATTTTCTTAATATTTTGCTTTATCAATTAAATAAACTATTATAAAATTTAGAAAGACAAGAACACTAAAATAGACATTGAAAATTTGACTAAATGGTTAATATTTTATAATTATTATTGTCTATATTTTATTTATTATTATTATTATTTTCTAAATAACACTAACGTGAAGAAAATAGCGTGGAAAGAGAGTGGTAAGCAAATCAGGAACCCTAACTTGAAGTTGGAAGAGGAAGAAGAAGAAAAAATGTCTGGTGTGAAGAGAGCACTGAGGCAGTTTACGTTCGGGAGCGGCAAGACCGCCGGCCGCAACTCGTCGGGGCGCATAACGTCGTTTCACAGAGGCGGCGGAGCTAAGCGGCTGCAACGAACCGTAGATCTCAAAAGGAACACCACTTCTTCCCTGGGTGTCGTCGAACGGATCGAGTACGATCCTAACCGTTCTTCCGACATCGCACTCGTTCGCTGGCTACAAGGCGTCCACCACCGCCCACGTGGCGCCGGCGCCGGCGTCGGCGCTGCGGCCTGCTCGTCCAAGGTCCTAGCCCTCAATCCCGCCGTCACTAACAGTGACAGCATTCGTGGCGTGTTCGCGCTCAATTCGATGTTGCCGCGCGTTGGAACTTCCACTAGAGAGGTTTTCCTGTCTGCGTTCTCGTCCAAGGCCAAGGGACGGGATACGAAATCGGAATTGGAATCGGTTTCTTCGATCGGATTGCCGCGGATGGCGGTTGCCGCCTCGAGAGCTCCGTTCTTCGCGCCACGCGTGAAAGGGGAGGATACGTTGGAGGTTCGGAATTGGAGAAGGAATAGCGACGCTTGGGCGCATAGGAACAAGCGTAGAGTGGCGGTCTCGTGGCAGAGCATCGCGCGTTGAGTTGATGCTATTTTGAATTGTAAAAACTAAACTTCTGGCTCTCTGCCTTTAATTTTGTGTTTGGCTGTTGAATTGTTGGTTGGGATTGTGCTTCTCTGAATGTTGAGGCGTAAGGCTTGAATTGGTGAGTAGTGTTCAGTTTGTTTGCTCTTGCCCTGATTGGTATCGCAAGTGAAAGCGAGAGAGGGATAGGAACGGAATGGTTAGTTTTGTTTTTCTGAACTGGAAATAATCAGTATCTTTGAACAGAAATTAAGACCAGTAGCTGCAATTTTATTGCTGTACGTAATATTATGAAATTTGAAGTGCAGAACAGATGGCTGTGTCATTTCCATTCGATTCTCATGTTTTGAGTGAATGCTGTTGGAGAAAAACTTGCTTCCCATTTGGGAGTAGAGACAAGTCAACCATGCTTGTGGCACTTCCCCTAGTTTGTGAGTTAATATTTTAGCTGGAGAAATCTTTAGCCTTTTCTCCTTTTCAATTTAAGTTCACCCTCATCCCTTTGCCTTCCATTGTAAAATATTCTGAGAGGTGGTGGGGGTTTGTTACTTATCGGTTCCGGGCTCTGGAACTTTTGAGGATTGCACCTAACACTGTTTTTTTCTCAGGTATAAATTATATATAAATTATATATATATAAAATTTTATAGGAGTTTAGGTGTGCATCTTTTACAAAAATTTTAATTTTTTTTAATGATTCTATGAAGCCTCTCTCATCCACTTAGGAATTTAACTGAAATTTCGTAATATGCCTATTGGAACGAGGAACCAAAAGAAATAAATTGTGCTGCAGAACTTGTTTTTGTGACTGAAATTTCATATTCTGTTCTTTGGATTATTTTAAAACCTTGGTTGAAAATGTTTTCTGATTATGATTCACTTTATTCTTATGTCTCATTCCTATGTTCATGGTAAGGGTGCATTGTGGCGGGTGTTGTCACCATGGGAATATTGGAAATTATCCTATAATTCTTTTAATTATTTTTGTTGGATTGAATTTATGATTACTAGGTTAAATATAGCTAATAGTTAGGATGTACCTCTTTCAAACTTGATCCACTTCAAAAGACACACTTGATGCAACTCACAACAATCTTTCCATCAAATTTGTGACCTTCTCTTTAATATTAATTGTTAGCTTGAATATTTGTCACTAGGCCAAAAGTTATAAGTAATAGTTAGGGTATAAGTTTGTCTAAGGATAATTGATGCAACTTACAACAATCTCTTTATTGACAATTGTTCCACTAAAAATTGAATTTGTGACCTTATCTCCAATATCACAATTGTTGAATTGAGTGTTCGCCATTGAGTTAAAAATTATAGTTAATATTGGAACGCAATTTTTTCTACTTAAAAGCATAAAAGAACTTGAGAGTCATTATTTGATTGTAACTTGATCTACTTATATTCCCCTTTGATAATTGATGCATCATCTAGTAATTTCATTCCCTTCCAACTTGTTTTCTTGACATATTTTGGATTTTAAAGTATTCCCATGAATATTTAATTCTTAGCCTACATGTTTTTAATTTACCCAGGTAAAACCATTTTCGTTGTTGTATTCCTGGAGATGCCATTGTTGGAATTCTAATTATATATTTTGGATAAAATGCCCACCTTAACTCTTAAGACCTATTTCTGTACCAAAAAGATAAGTGCAAAATTGAATATATGGATCATGTTTCTATCCTGCTTGAGGAAATAATGGGAAATCAAATGCTGCAGCTACTACCGGCTGTTGCTACTACCTGCTGTTAACGTCCAGATGCCACTGCTCTAATATTAAAAGTTTATTTTGGGTGAATAAATTGTTGATAAATATAGCCAAAAAAAGGTTCAGTTGTTGTGTGTTGCTAGCTGAACAAATAATTATTTTCTCTTCATCGAGTTACTATGGCATGTACTGAACTTTTTAAGAAAATTAAATGTGGTGATATTTTGGTAGAGAGAAATTGTTGTTAAAAGAGGGTTAGGCAATTGATGTAACCAGCAAGGTAACCTGTTCAGGTGGCTTATCAGACTGCTTGATTCCCAGGAAACTGGAGTGGACTGGCTTTAAATTGATTGCACTGGTAGGAAAGGAAAAAGGAGGAAAAACCCCTCCAGAAAATTTCTTCCGTTATTTATAATTAACCAAGCAGTCAAGCTTAACCTGATAATTCTAATTACAATTAATCTTAATCTGAGAGCCAGCTTTTGCATTGTTTCATCTCGTTTAACTTGCATATAGTGTTCTGGCATTTACCGCAGGTAATATATCTGGTCTGCTAATTAACTTTTAGATTCTCATGTAAATGATTTATATTTTCAGTGTATCTTAATGATAGATTGACTATATTGTCTGTTCAGAGTCACATTATGTCACAGATTTGCTTCAATTAACCTTGTAGTAAGAAGTACACTGTGCCAATGTTTTATGCAATTCCAGTGTTTATTCTTTTGGATGCAACGCCTATTTGCAAGTAGCGTTATTTATCTCTTATCAGAGTCTAATTCCTAGGCTTTATGGCGAGTACAGGTTTCGTAAATTTTAATGTGATCTGAAATACTAGACGAAAATTGTATTTAGAAATCGAATTAGTTAGCAAAGTAATTAAAGATTAAGTTATAATCTAAATTCAAAATATCTACAAACTGTGATCTGCTATTTTTAAAGATTAATTTAATAACTAGTTGAGAAATCTATTCAATAATAATAACATAATTTCGACACTACAATTCTAATTTCCAAATGAGCTTATATAAAGGCTGATTTTATTTTTTCTCTAAATATCTGTGTAATGATCATCCTCAAATCTTCTTTTTTATTCTTAATTTTTTACATTCTTAAATTCATGTATGATAGTCTTATTTTTTTTCCCCTTTGGTTAGGTCTTATCATTTTGCTTAAGAACGATATATTATTATTAAAAAGGACCAATTTTGACTATATTTTTTTATTGATGTCGATGGTAGTTTTTTTATTTATTTAAATAGTCAGGCTATATTTAATTTTTTATTGGCCATTGTTATTTTTCACTTGATATTATTAGTAATCTCAATTTTTTTAATGTGAAATAGCTTTTTCAATTGATGCCTATGGTGATTATTTTCTATTGGTACTTCACTGAATATTTTATTTTATATAGACACGATGTTATCTCTTGTGATAGTTGTTTAGAGTTTTTTTCTCTCTCTCAAATGTTAAACAATGATACTTTTCGTCAATATTAAACTAGATTACTTTACCAATTGCAAATATGGAAATTTCCAAATTACATTCATAAAATGAAAAATAAATTCCAATTATCAGTCATCGTAAAAATAACATATCTCCATGACAATCTAAATAATTGTAATTAATATCAACAAAAAGTAATTCTAATTGTTCTCAACCAAAGTTATTTTTTATCAATATCCGTTGAAATAATCTTAAAGAACTTTAATTGAAAAATTAAAAAAAGTAATCAAAATAACATTAATTGAAAAATAACATTAATATTTTTTTAATATTTGCATACTTGTATTCATTTTATAGTAATTGAAATACTTTATCAAAATAGAAAAAAAATTCAGTCAATTTTAATATCTTATTAATTAAATTGTTCATTAGTTATTTAATTGATCCTAGGTAATTATAAGCTATGCATTATAATTAAATTTAATCACTCTTCAATTTGATAAACGATAGATGTTGATATTTAATTAGGACATCTAAATAGTAATTTTATGATTTTTAACAAGCCATTTGGCCATGTTTTAAAGAAACCAAAAAGATGTATACTTGTCATTTAAGTTCAAGATTAAATTCGAAGGACCAATTTAAATAAAATAAGTTTCCATGATTTAAAGTATTTGAAATAAAATTAAATAGAACATACATCATTCTATCAATTGCATTTATTTGGTTTTTCCTTGAGAGTATCGAATTATTCTTTTTTCCATTTTATAACTAGATTGAAGGAAACAATAATAACTTTTTTCCATTCTAATTTACAACATATTTTTTCTATACGTTAATTTCATAAACAGCATCGAAATCGAAATCCACGCTCATCATTTTCATAATCAAGAACACAAAAATTATTTTAAAGTTTGCAGAAGGATAAAAGTATAAATATTTTTTTATATATTTAAAATTGTACGATTGTATTAAATTATCTTGGATAATTTAAAATAATATTCTTTTAGAATAGTTATCCACATTTGTGTTTCTAGTATTATATTTTTCATAATAACATTATTCATCTTCACACACCGTCTAATAATTAGATGTTCTTGATTGGATTTGCATGGAAAAGTTCTAGAAAAAAAAATTATTACTTTTAATCCAGTTTCACAGATAAATTTAAGTTTTTTAATTGAATTTTTATTAAACTTTTACTTTACTAAAAATATTTATATTTTTCAATTAAATTCTGCGATTTAATATGTTTTATAAATTAGAAGAGTGAGTATTATTTTATCTTTTCATATGTTAGATAAAGACTTCCGTCTCATTATTAAATATGGATTTATGAAGTTGAGAGGGGAAGTAAGCCACCTGGATTGTAGAAAGATTTAAAGATGAAATTTATATTGATTATTTTAAGAAATTTAAAAATAAAGCGAAAAGATTTAAATGTAAAATGTATAAATATGTAATTAGAAAATTAGGTTGATGATTAATTTTAAATAAAAATTAGTAATTCTTTCATTGGATTATTATTATTGTTATCCATCCTTTATATTTTTTCTAAATCAATTCAAGTTTACTACAAATTAAAAAATTAATAAATTACCAACGTAATATCTTAAAGGAAAAATATATTTTGACATAGATTTATGACAAACATTTTTAAATAGCACGTGTATATTTTTTTATTGGTGTGCATTATTTATTTGTTATCCTAAACCAATAAAAAAAAGAACATACTACTTTGTCCTAATAGTTTGAAGTTATAAAATTATTAAGTTAAATTGTGATAAAAAAAAATACAAATGAGTAAATGAATGAGATATATTATTTTTTCGATTTCAAGATTATCACACATAAAGTATGTTCATGCTCATAAACATATCAGTTAGTTTATAAATCAATAAATTCTATTCAAATGATAGCGTTTATGTTATATGTGAATACTGGGATCTATTTTCCCTTTTCTTGTTGACGCATCCATGCTACACCTACATTTTGTTGTGAAAAGAATTATTTCATGCTCTAATATGTACGTTGTTAAGTGGAACCAGATAAATTCTATTCAATAGCGGCGTATTGCTATTGAAAATATCGTCTCTCGGCATCTGCCTAGTGCGGTGTCAATCTATCCATCCACACTATGTTGAAAG